ATTTGTTCGTTTTAACAACTGGTGACGGGTTTGGCACCGCGCCAAGCTCATCCCGCCTGACACGCCTAACCGTCCGCAGCGAACTACACTATATGTACCATCGGAAAAGAGACGGTATCTAATCGTTGGTGTTCAGGTTGACGTTAGTAGGCTTCTTCGCCGAAATGGTGAAATTCTATCGATCTCGCTTTTTCGCGGCTATCCTTCTTGCCTGTTGGGTCTCTGTGATCGTCTATCTTATGTCTTCCGGATTCTACGACAAAAGGGTAAGTATCTCTACGTATGTGGACTTTATTTTATTGTGCTGCACCTTATTTGTTCTATTTTCAGGAGGAAATTTTCGGCGATCCCAAATCATTTAGGGGAAAACTTTTCGGCGGTCCACTTCCGCTTCCCGTTTCACCAACTCATTCTCCGTCGACGACTGTTATTAGGCCCAAATCAATCGAACAGATTACCGAAACGTCTTTTCTCGAAAGATTTGGTCAGTCTCATTTTGAATAGGGGGAGCTTTATATAATTTTGGGATTGGTAGTGCAGGTCGAACGATCTTTAATCGAGCCCACATTCGCAAAGATTTGCTGTTGTATATAGAAATATGTGTGAATTTGGAAAATTATTTTTTGGAGACTCTGTGGAAAGGTCTGAAATGAGGTATAAGCTGATCGTGAGATCGCGAAAAAATTTAGCGCAGTTCGAAAAACTATTTTAAGAAAATACCGTCATCCAGCCGAAGGTGCATCCTGTTCTAACTTTGGGTGAATTCGATGCTGATGGCTATGTGTCTAAGGGAAAGCTCAAGCCTGGAGAGGTACGATCCTTATTTACCTAGATTTTTAATAATTGTGCTTTTACGGGACGGTCAAGACAGTCGTAACTTGCCGCTCCGTCGCAAGATGCGCGGATTTTCTTAATTTGCATTAGCTTGTCGAGTACCGTATTGCATGTGTACTGCGACATCGTGTAGATATATCGCTATTCTTGGTTATGTCCAGTCTATTGTCGCCATTTATGACCTAGAAACACCGCCGATCAGAGGGCGGGGGCGCGATCGTCCGCGACGCTCCCCACCGCGGCGAATTGCGATTGTTGTGGCATACCCTGGGCTTTGCCTTCATCAGTTTTTTCTCAGGGTCTAATTCAACTTCCTTAGCTTCTCTACAGACGTTGGAGTGTCCTCCCAGAAACTTATTCAATGTCCATCATAGCTAGCGCCGAACCGGCGAATCGGGGGGGGGGGAAAGGGAGGGGTTGGCCTACCTGCGGAAAGACCATATTTTACCCCCTCAAAAGCGGATTTCGCGACAAGCTGTCGAAAAGTTCGTAGGTAGCGGGATTAGAAAGCGAAACTGTATGTGCTATTCGACTTACTCGTGAAGAAGAGGGTAGAAGGAGCCGTCAAAAACGTCCCACAATAAGTCTCCTTTGTTCCAAAGAAAAGGCAAAAAAAATCGGTGGGAACTTCGAAGTAGAAACTAAACAAGTGCAGAGCAAGACGGCAAATACGACACCTAACATCTCGGAAGCAGTCACATCAGCAATTTTGCGTCCTGACAGCTCTACCTTACGAATTTCTGACGTGAAACTCGTGCAGGGTTGTACATTACAGTCCACCCCAGGGTCGCACATTACGTCTAACTACCTTTCCCATATAAAGCTTCCATTATAATGAGAAATCACGGAACGTTCCTTCAACCCTACAGACGCAGCACAGCAGCTCCTCTTGTCTTTAGTTTTTACATCTGAGGAGATTAGGTTTTCCAGGCTAATGCCGTTTGGACTCCAGCAACTTCGGCACCGAGCTCATTTTTAAATTACCTAAGTCGCCAAACCCGCTGAAAATATGTACACAAGGGTTATTTACCATCCTGATTACAATTATGACACTCATTCTTGGCGCTGGCGCCAAGGGATGACACTACGATTACCTCTTGGGCTCAGCCTTAGCGGAGCGCAGGTAATCGTAGTGTCATCCATTAGCGCCAGCGGCAAGAGTGAATGTCATATTCGTAATCAGGATGTTAAACTACCCCTACATACAAGTTTTTAGCGGATTTGGTAACTTAGGCAATTTAAAAATGAGCTCGGTGCCGAAGTTGCTGGAGTCCAAACGGCATTAGCCGGTTTTCCATCAGAGTTGATTACACGGAGAAATGTCGATGAGTTGGATTTGAATCGCAAGGGGACGGAGCCAAAGTAAAAATTCATCAACTTTTCGCTAGATTGTCATCTAGTTTTCAAGTTAACAGTTATCGCAGTTCGTGTATTCAATTCACTGAATGTCGTGGAACAAGTCGACTGGTAGAAACCCTAAATATTTTCAAGCGCAACATGAATCCGAGAGCCGACATGGCGCTTTCTCTCCCAGCATTTGTGCCTTTATAGCTTTCTGGAGAGTCTGATCATTGGAGATTCTGAGGGGTTTCTCTACTCTGAACGAATGTTTCCATAGATTATCCTTTTTTCAGAAACACTTTTTCAGGACAAGTATGCCGCCAACAAGTTCAACCAAATGGCCAGCGATTCGGTTGCGGTCGATAGAGATGTTATTGACAGTAGAGAGCACCAGTACGTTGTGTTGCTTTAGCGTCTGGCACTATTTACCTTTTATGCCCCTTTCATCCGAAATCGGACTGCTGTTGACCGACCTTTTCCTCCGACGGCAGACTTGGCTACAAATGTGCCCCACGGGGTAGCTTGACCTTCTAAACAAGAATGTCACATCCGCTCACTCCGTATTTCGGCGCCGCGCCACAGACGCCGTCGCCAAAATGCCCTGAATCACCGAATTTGTCGACCTCCTGAACACGAATATCACATCTGCATAGCATGTTAAGAAACTTAAGTATGGTGTAAAGAGGGTACAAGTTATAGTGCAGTTTGCTACGTCTCGTCTGCACCCTTTTTTGCAATGAACGATCCTTTTCTTTGCCAAAGTAGAGCCTTAGCA